GCCAGGTGCCTGGTCGCCCTGCTGCAGCTGGAAACACGCTCCAGCACGGCTCGCCGCAGCAGGCAGGGCACGAGGGCCCAAGCAGCGCTGAGCTCGTGCCGGGCTTTTGGTTGTGTTTAAAACTTGCTGTCGGCTTCAAAAGCCTTCAGGAAGCTGCGGATGCCTCTGCCAGCCTCGAGAGGTCAGATTGTAGGCTAGATTTCCCGATCTAGTAACGGTTCATCTCTGAGCTGGATTTCTTGGGAGCTCTCTGTCCCTTTGCTCTCTCCTTGCTCCTCTCTCTTCAGCTTCTCGTTCGTGGCTGTTTTTCTGCTGGTGCCCCCTCTGCTCCCCTTGCACGGACCCTGTCCCCAAGCTGAGGGCATGAATGCCTGTGGCCTATATTGAGCGAGAGGCGGAGACGCTTTTGACAAGGGGTGCATTCATCCCTGCTACGTGCCCTGCCTTTCCTGCTTTGCAGGAGGGGAGTGACCAAGCCTCTCCGTGTCTCTCTCCGGCCTGGCAGCCTCTCTTGGCCTGCTCTGCCCCAGGGCAGAAGGTCCGAAAGAACGGGTGGGGGTAGGCTCCTGGCAGCTGCTAGATGTGGGGAAGCAAGGCCGTGGGAAACGACTGGGGAGAGACGCATGGAAGGCAGCTGTGGGGGAGCTGGGGCGGCTGGGCTGGGCGGTTTCGGGGAGCTTAGCGCTGTGTTTGTGCCCGCCCCGCGGGGCAGAGCGGCTAACCCTGGCCTTGCCGAGCTGGGGCTGACCCTGCGTGCCTGTCCCTGTCCCGCGAGGCCACAGGGGTTAACCCTGCCTGTGTCCTTGCTCTGCAGACAGCTGGCCCTGAAGGCCCTGAACGAGCGGCTGAAGCGCGTGGAGGACCAGTCGGCGTGGCCCAGCATGGAGGATGATGAGGAGGAAGCAGCGAAGGCAGACAGCCCGCTGCTCCCCGACGCCAGCGCGGCAGGGAAAGGAACCAGCCAGGAGTCCAGCCTAATCACTTTTGAGGATGCCCCATCCCAGCTGTGACCTGCGAACACACCACCTCCCTTCCCCGCCCCGTCTCTGTGTCGGAGAGCTGCTAACTACCCTCGCGTCTTCTCACAGCACCGTCTGCTCCCCAGGACGCTGCCTGCGGGGAGCAGGGACTCCTCCCGCGGCAGAGGCAGGGGGCTACCTCATTCCAATGCCTCATCGCCGCACGTGGCTAGCACCGGGCGTCACACGGCCGCTGGCCAAGGGTGCCAGCCACCGCCTTGGAGAGGACCTCGTTGCTGCGGGGCTCCGGTTCTCGCTGCCTCCCTTTCTGAGGACGGGGAGGGGGGGGTTCCTCGAGGCCACTCCCCGCGGTTCAGACCCGCGCGCCTCCCGCCTGCGCAGGGCGGGCGTCCTGTGCGCCGTGGCAGCCACCCAGGGGGGGTGTCTCTGCTGGCAGCGGGGGCTTTCTTTCCGGGAGGGAGACATTGGACTGATCCAGCCTCAGATTTGTCCCACGCTCAACAGATAGGCTCCCTTTTCTGAGGCCTCTGCGCTTGACCACAAAGTAACCTCACGGCGCCCACAGGAGCAAAATCAGCAAGTGAGAGCGCACTTTCTTGCTTCTTTTTTTGTAATAGTGGTTGTCCAGAGTGCCCAAAACTTCTTTTTCTCCTTTCTGAAGTAACTTTTGTTCCTTATCTGAGGAATAGGAAGGCTTGCGGGTTTCTGTTCCGAATCCTTTTCCTGTATTGACCCTCCCCTGCGCTCTGGCAGGAGCTTGACATGATCAGTCCTGAGTTAGAGGTTTGCCAGGCCAGAGATTGAGAAGCCTGTTCAGAAGGAAAGTAGTTGCTCAGCACCTGCTGCTGCTGCTGCAGTGGCCTGGCGTGAGCTCCCGCTCGGGGCCGGGGCCGTCTACTCTCAGCTTTGCAGTTAGTGCATGGAACGGGAATCAATCCCCGACTTTTCCTAGAGGTGAGAGGGGCTTCATTTTGTGGTGTTGGACTTTTCTCCTTCCTCTTGTGTTGCAGTGATTCATTTCCCTGGAAGCCAGCCCCTCTGGAAGGAGCCAGTGCCCTCAGCTGCTGCTCGACTAATCCGTTTGCCAGATTATACTAGAAGCTGGAATTAGTTTTTACAGTGGGGCGCTCGCTGCCTCCTCTGGCACCAGGTTTTATTTCCTGCGGGTAGAATATGGGCTCCCCCTTCTGTTTTCCTTCCTCTGTGTTGATTCACTTTTTTTTTTTTTTTTGGGAGGGGATGCTCCCTGAAAAAGCTTCCCTGAAGAGCCAGCCCCAGCCGGCTGTGCCACTTCCAGCTCCTGATTTCCCTGGGCAGTTCCCAGTCTGGGACGTGGGTTGACAGTGTCATGATTATTTTTTTAAAGGACCACACAAGAAGGTTTTGTCAACCAGTAAAAACACAGAAATTTCAGTATCAATAAACAGTTCTTTCAAAGAGAGCTGCTTGGCTAGTCCCTGAGTCAGCCTCCCGCTGCTGCTGGCACGGCTCCTGGGTCGGAGCGTGGGCCGGAGCCGGGGTGCAGAGCCTGCGGGGCCTGAGCAGCCCGCTGGGGTTTGTGTTCGGGGCCAGGTTGGTACCAGGGAGGGCCTGGAGGAGGAGAGCTGAGCTTGGGCTCCTGCCTCTGGGAGAGGTTTCCCTCGCAGCCCGAGGGCAGGCCCCCAGGAAGGGGAGGCTGTACTGTTGGCTTGGCTCTTGGGTTTTAAAAGCAGGCTGGTTGGAAGGGAGGAGGTGGGAGCATACAAATAGATGCGTTCACTGGAGGACACAGACGTAGGCTTTGCTGACCCTGACCCATGTGCCTGGAAAGCCAGACGGGACAAGGAGCTGCCCTGGCCAGGCGGTCTCACGTGGTCCCTTCAGTTTGGGGGCGACCGATGTTGCTCAAATTCTGAGTCCCCTTCCCCTTGCCACTTTCCCTGTTTGGGAGTCTGAGAGCTGGTGCCAGCTCAGCCCCGCACCAGAGCAAACACTCGTGGGAACAGCATCTTTGCTGCTTTGTTAAACGCATCCCACACACAGAGGTAGGAAACCTGTTGCTTCAGAAGGGGGAAGAGGGCCTGCTCGCCTGCTGAAAGCCTCCCTCCAGTCCCCCCAGGGCAGTAAGCAGATCTGCTATGCTGTAGCTGCCTGAACTCTTTATTGAATAAAAGCTCTGGATACAGAGGAATTTCCCAGCTGGGGAGCTGTTCTCAGCTCTCCGGCCCTGCAGAGAGCACACGATTCGCATTGAGGCGGGAGCCCCGGGGCCCTTCCAACACAGCGCGCTGGGCTGGGGAAACGGCACTTGATTCAACCAGCAGATCAAGCCTTGCGGTGCCCTGGCTGTCCAGGACGTGTCTGGTCCGGGGAGGAGGTTGCTGTGCTGGAGGAGGGCCCCCTTACACTGGCCTGCCGGCGCCCAGCAGGCGAGACGAGGCAGGATGAGGTTATTTTCTGCCTTCCAAGCGGTCGTTTTGCAGGCCAGCTCGATGGTTTGTCCTCCAGCTGAGCGCCAAGCACCATGATCAGCATCCTGAGGAGCCCGCCAGGGCTGGCCCGCTCACAGGGCTAGGCTGGAGGGGCACACGGTCCCCTCCTGCTGCGAGGGGAGCTCTGCCAAGGCACAGGGGCAGCACCGCCACCGGAGGGGGCTGGCAGGGCACGCTCTCCCCTTGCAGGGACCCAAGGCACCTCCGGCCCCTGCTGTCTGCTGGGGAGAGCTCCCTGCCACGCGTGTGCCAGCAGGAGGCAAAGGCAAAGTGCTCCCTCCTGCACTTATTTTCCTTCCACCCCTCAGAGCTGCTCTTTGGCTCAGCTGTAACAGAGCTGGGATGCTAGGTCCAGAGGAAGTATCAGACACGGGGACAAAACAGGCCTCAGCAGACTGCTGGTTTGCAGCTCAGCTCGATAACCTGCTGTGTAAAACAACCGCTGCTGCTGCCAGGCCTAGGCTTCCCCGTTACGCTGCTCGGCACCCCAGCAGGCAGCGGGGATTTGTGCGTGGCGATAGGTGCCTGGGTTTGGGGCTGTCAAGTAGGGCTGAACACGACCAGCTCCTGCATTTGCTGGTCCCGCTGGGCTGGGCTCAGGTGCCCCCAACCCCGTGGAGCCCCCGGGGGTCCCTGCTTGGGGCTGTGCCCCCGCGCAGCTCGCCATGGACGCTACAGTCCCGCTTTGGCCCTCCTGCCCCCCGGCAGAGCTGGCTGAAGCCACAGCCCTGCCCCAGGGTGTTTGCCAGGGACGGTGCCCCTGTTGCAGGAGAGGCAACGGGGCACGTGCCCGGTGCGGCCATCGCCCCCTCTGCCTGCAGGGCTGCCATCTGCCAGGGCTCAGCCCGGCCGCCCCTCGCGGCAAGCGGGCAGCCAGGAGGCGCCAGCCCTCAGCTGAGGTGAGCAGGGACTCCCCCGAGGAACATAACAGCTCCTAGCCTGCCCACCTGCTCCAAAACAAACCTGGTGCGTAAGGGAAGAAGAGAAGGGGAGAAATCCTGAGTGACAGCTGTCATTAACCCTCTGGTTCCCAGCATCGGAGCAGGCAAGCAGTCCTCTGCCAAGCAGCAAGCCGTTGCAGGGACCAGCAGAGTTACCTGTGCCGGCAAGCTGCTCCCCTCCAAGGTGGGCGCAGGCCAGGCAGCTGCTGCCTGTCACGTGCGTTACACACATCGTAGCTGCTCCCTGAGACCAAGGTTGACACTACAGACACTCTAGGACTAACGACAGACGAGTAGGTAGAAATCTAGTTCTGAGGAGACCACTGCGACTGCAAGTAAGGGACCCCCCACGGGAGGCTTCCCAGGTCCAGCAGCCCACAGAGCCCTGGCCCTGCTGGATCGCACAAGGCAAGCTCTGATCCCCACCGGGCCCTCAGTGCTGGCTCCGTTTGCGGTACAGGTAAGCGTTGCTCACCTGGTTCATGATCACCAGGCTGGTGAGAATGGGACACAGCATCAAGAGGTACCAAGAGACGCCGGTCACCGAGGTGGTAAACCACAAGGAACACATGCCTAGCATGAGGCTGGTGCAGCCCAGGAGGTACCCGACCAGCCCCGAGGTCGCGTGGTACAGCTTTAGCTTGGCCAGCGTCCAGTTCTTCACCAGCTTGGGGTAGAGAAGGACCACACCTCCGAGGCACTGCATGCAGGTGTACAGCACGGTGAGCAGCCCCGTCAGGCCGTGCCAGGTCACGAAGTGCGCCTTGCCGTTCAGGTGCTTGTTGTAGCTGATGATGCCCAGCCCCAGCAGGGCGCAGAGGAGGGCGAGCAGCTGCAGGGCCCAGTGAACCCGCACTTTGACTTTGCGGGAGAAGGAGCGGAGCGGGGAGCTCTCCGGCGAGAAAACCAGCAGGGCTTCTGTCAGCAG